CTGCAGGTACGAAATTAAAGATTTACTCAGTACCGAACTGAAATTGAAAGCCTTGTTCTTAAGAAAAACACTACAGAACTATGGAACATGAAGTAGTGATCCAAGAGCCACCTCAGAGCAACAAAGCCCGTTTCAAAGCGCACGAAGCAAAGCACACTGAACAAAAACAGAAAAGAGCATGTCAAAGGCTCCACCACCGGAGCTCAGAACTCCCCTGACCTGACAGTAAGCCACTGGCTTCTAATGCACTTCAGTAGCCTATGGCCAGGAAGAACTATTTCCACAGCTAGCTTCTTTTGGCTGATTTGAGAGAAGTACAAAGAGTCTGAACTAACCAACCCACTCTAGAACAAGTCCCTATAGGATTGGCTCCAAAATTTCAGCAGGGAGGCACGAGAAGTATGCCTTATGACCCACTTATCTGCTGCCTAGGGTTCCAGTACCCTTCTAAGCATTGCTCGTTGACCACATTTTTTCCCCCTCTACATTGTTTCCAATTCAAAAAAGCTCACCAGAAGGCAAAAAACATACTTTTTTTCCCTCTTTAAGATAAGTGCCCAGTTAAGTTTGCTTAACCCAAACAGAAACCATAATTGTGCTCCCTTTCTACAATTGCTTGGCTCCCAGTCATCTTTCTCCTTCCAGTTGTTAAAAAGCTTCAGTCAAAGCATTCTGAGAGTCTCCAATAGCAAAGGCTTAAAAAAGCCAAACTCAAGCAGATGCCCCACCGCTTGTTAGCGTGGTGCTGTAGTGCAGGCCAATGGGCCATAAAAGTCCCTGAGCAGCAGTTAACTAATGCAATAAGAAAGAAGACCAACTTACCTGACTGACACCAGGAGAGATCTGACAGTAGCAGCTTGAACCAGTTCTTTGGGATAAAGACCAAGATCTAGCAAAATTTCAAGTGTTTTATTTGACAATAATACTTCTTTGAATGTTAACCTCACTACAACAGATATAAAGAAGGAAAACCTCTTTTTTTTTTTCCCCCCATGTCACACCATGCTTTGGAAGCCCCAGAGAAACACGTGCCTTGGATTCATACCTTTCTACTGAAGTATTAGGCCTGTGGTAGTAAAGAGCACACACCACCAGCATGACCTATTGATATCTGACAAAACCACAAGGTGTGCACAGTTCTTTCAGTTCTCAGTACAATTGTAGCTCTGAACAGAGAATCTCTGTTCAACTAAATACCAAAAAATTCTTCCTCAAAGTTTAGACAAATATCTTCAGAGGGTGTAGAATCTGTCCCAAATTATTTTCTTTTCTCTCTAACCCCCCCCAAAAGACAGACAAACGTGGAATTAATGGAAACAAAGTTAAGCCTCAAAGACTAAGTACATGAACACTTGCCTTGCTACTGGTCAGCTGTAATTCAAGGATTTAATCAGTTTCTGTAGACACTGTATTTGTAGGGGTTTTTGCATTATTTTAAAGACAATTACAACACACAGTTGATGTGAATAGTACAATGATGTTTTAACTGCTGATGAATGCACGTGAGTCTATCCAAGTTAGAATATTTTTATGTAGATTGTCATATTAACTTAAGCACAATTTGAATACTTTAGCCAGTGAACTTGTGCTCCCTCTGCTGACTGGTTAATTTAGCAGAACCTCAATAGTATCAAGATGTCCTTACCTTTATATATTAACAATTACTTCCATTTTGGGAAAACTGCAGAGCTACAAACACTTAAGCAAACTCACAACACCTACTCAAACTATTTACTTCTACCCCAGCTTGAACATTTATGACCTCTGACCTGGAATCTGGCACCTTCTCGTATGAGCATTCAGCAGAAAGAATGCCAGATTCCAGTACAGCAACCAAAATATTAAATCTTTCATCCATTTAAGAAAGGTTAGCTTTAAGTGTGAAATTAATATTTTTACTTACAAAAGCAATGACCCCCCTCCCTATTTACAAAGAAGTTACCAAAAAAAAAAAAAAGACCTCTCCCAAAACTACAAATACATTATGGAGGCCTGAATGCTTAAATATAAATAAGTATCATAATTTAAGAACATGGAATAAGAGTTCTGGAAAAACACAAAGTGACAAAGCTGTATTTCAACCCAAGGTTTAAGTTTTAGGGTATAAAATAGTATTTTTTCTAGTATTTACAGCAGTGCTTAACCTCAGATGTTTTACTTAAGAGTCATAATGCCCGTAATACCATGTTTTAAGACACAGAATTTGTGTGACTGTTTTTGACTATTGCTTCTCTGGACTACTATGGAAATAAAGAAAACAAATGTCAAGCAGAACTATCTAACCTAAACCAGACAGACTACTTGCAAAGATATCTGTTCCAATATATTTTCAGTATTGTAGGACTTGCATCTAAATGTGCTATCAAATCTTCACATCATTGTGCTTGCAGGAGCAGATGAGTGCATTTAGTTCGCTCATTTAAACACTGTCAATTCTCCCAGTCACAAAGTACTACTTTTATTAATGCCTGTTAGTTGTGTTTGCAGTTAGAGATGAAAATGTCTATGATCCAGTCCAAATGGGCAGAATCGTTACTTTCCTTACCACAAACACAGGTATGTTGCTTTCACTGGCCTGCAAAAATTCCAGGGAGCATGCAGTTAAATCCATGATCTGCATTTAAAATAAAAACCAAACAACAAACCTCTGACTAGTTTAGTTATCCGTTTCCACTGTAGAATAATTGTAGCAGTGCATGTTAAACTGAGCAAAACTAACATGAAATTAAAAATAGTACCTTTCTGACTTTCAAATGCATTCCCCAAAATGATTGTTATCAGTTTGCAGTTACAAACACCTGCATGCAGTAACATATCCAGCAGTAACACTTAGATGACATAGGGCCACAATGACTCTTTCAAAAGATGATCTAGATTTCACCACTGGGTGGTGTAAAAGAACAAAACAGCTTATTTTTATTTTATGACCATATACTAGCTGGTTTGATAAATTGCTTTTGCATGTGCAGGTTTGTTCTACATTAAAAGTTTTCTAGATTATCTTCACAAAAAAAATGTGTCACTTCATATCAGCTCTAATATGGTTTAGCCCTTTTGCTCCTCTAGCTACACTGTTAATTTCTCTATTAAGTGTTAGTCTAGAAATGCATTCTTTTCCCGCTTTATGTCCAGATTTCAAGGCATCAGCCTCAAGGATGAGGGCACAATTTAAAGTAAATTGGACCCAAGCAACAAGAATTTCAGCAACCTGTGTAACGTCTTGCACATACCTAGTCTTCCTGCAGTCCCTGTCACCAAGATCTAAGTGCCAGATTTCTTGAGGAAATCCTGTTTTGTTGATATCTAGGGGAATAGACCTACTCCTTTCATCTGAAAAACAGGGCTACCTTCCTCCAGGTTGAACTGCTGGATGTACTCCAATATGTATTAGATGGGGAAAAAAAACCCCAAAACTTAAGAATAAATTAGTTTTCCAGAACAGGGTTGTTTTTTTTTTTAAGGATGCATCTAATGATTACAATTGTAGCACTGAATTATATGTCAATCCTGAATAGTCAAAAACATTAATATTTTTTTAAACAGTTTTAGTTTCCTTCTAATCAATCTTCAAAACAGATTATTTAAATGCCTGGAAAAACACTGAGAATTTTTAGCTGGAGGAAAAGTATACAAAAAGCCCCAAATCCACAACTGCTACCTGTTTATGCCCCAAGATCTCATCTACTTAAAATCTTGAGGAAAATTTAAATACTTTTGCATCTGCTAAACTGCAGAAGGATAATGCTTTTATTTTAAGTGAAATTCAGAAAGGAGCAGCAATATTTTTATCGCTCTGCTGCACCCACATGAGTTCTTACTCGGTAGCAACAACAGTAAACAGTCCTATATTCCCAGTACGCACATTCTTGTGTCCAACAGTTACTGCTGTGCGTAAACAAGAAAAAGTCACTAGAGAACACCATATGTAAAGTTTAAGAAAATACAGCTAATTTGCAAGCTTGGATTAGCACTCTAGAAAGCACAGTATAAAAGAAAACCGTTGTAAAATACACAAAAGTATGTTTAGAGATTAGCACATACATTCATTAGAGAAAATAACTCTGCACCTATAAGGAAAAGCTGACATCCAAAGGCAAGCGTAAGAGTAAAATAAAGATTAAACATACTTTGGTGAAATATCAGCACTATTATTTCTCTCTTCCAAGTTAAATCTGAAGAGAATGGTGCTCTCTCTTTTGCAGTATTTACATTTAAATGAATTTTGGAACTTCTGGATCTGTCAAACTTCATTTAAATTATAATTGGTGGATTTGATGCACAGCACTTCATTGATGAATACTTAAATAAAAGGGTATATTCTTTCAGCAAGTTAAACACTGAAATGCTTAACTCTAGTACCGTTAGTTCCTAAACAGGGAATTGTGAAGTCCCTCATGTGTGTTTGAGCTGTAAGTTGTCACACAAGTCCACACACAGAGTTAAGAGAATATGCAGTCACTTCAAAATAACTGCGGAAGAAAATATGATTTTGTTTCCTAAATTAAAAAAAAAATAATTAGGAGGAAAAATGTCTGACAATCCCAGGGCTCTTTGAACAGCCTTCTTTAGTGTTGTCTTCACATATACAAGGCAATTTGTTAAAGTATCTGACACTGTTACATCAAATAACGGTTGGGTAGTTTATTTAATTCCATTACAGTGCTTCAATAGGATGCTACTCATTTTCCACAAGAGCAGAGCCTTTCTTACACCCCATGCAGCTACAGGTGTTGTTATCCATCTCTCTATTAAATGGTACCACTCTCAGTGACATTTCTCTTGTTTGTTTGTTTAGGAAGTTTTACCAGTGGTTCCCATGGAGTCAGAACTGGGTCAGCAATCTTTAGTTCAGTTACATTTCAGTGGACTTTCACCAAAACATCTTTCTTCAGAGTGCAGAGACCTGGAAACCCAGAGAACTTTCACTAAACTCACTTCTAGAAAGTTATTTTCAAGCCTAGTCACAAAAAGATTTAGGAACTTCCAGACCGTAACACTGGTATCAAGTTGACTATCAGAGAAAAGCAGTAACGGCTTCAGCATCAAAGCTGGCTAGTGGTATAGAATAGCAGCAGCGCAAGTCTCTATTCATTGTTTCTGTAGTAATTTTCAATTGTTTCTGAATTAAAATACACCACAGTAACTGTGATATCATCTCTGTACATTCTTGCAAGGTCTTCAGGCAGCGTCAGCATTGCAGCAAGTTTCTCTTGGTCCACCTCCCCATACTCATTACTTCCAATTGCATGCCTTATTAAGTGAGTAGCTATGTTCTGGTCAAGTGAGGCAATGCCTCTGTTTTTCCTCTGAAGTAACAAGCTGTGCATATAACCCAAATTAACTGGTTTCTCAAAAGCCACTTGTGGTTTCTGCACATTAAGCTCTGTAAGGTGTCTAGCAACAAGTTTTACTACCTTCTCATTACTTAGCATCTCCCATAGTCCATCTGAAGCAATAACTAGAAACTTATCCTTGCTTCTTAATTTGTGGTATGTGACTTCAGGCTCTGCAGTTAAATAAGGGGGTGTATGGTAGTTTGGAGGAACGTACTGGTAAATATTTAAAGCCTCAACATCACAGCTATTATCGAGAATGCTGTGTTGCAATTCTTTACTCCATTTTAATTGCACATCTCCAAAAGCTCTCGAGGGCATAAGAATCCCCAGTAACCTGTCATTCACAAATAGGGTTTTCTCCTCAGATCTAGGATGTTCTTTCTTCAGTCTTCGAATTTCAAATTCATCGAAGGCATTGTGGTCTCGAGTTAGAGGGAGAGTAGACCATGTTCCATCTTCTTCATGAACCCCTAAAATTGCTCTGCAATCACCAGTATTTGCAACATGTAAGTGAACACCATCAATGTGAGCTACACAGGCTGTTGCACCAGAAAAAGCTACTTGAAGGGCAATGTTTCTCATCAATTCATTTTCCTGGGGAGCCTGAACTTCCAATGATATGTCTGAGTCTAACCTTTTAAATGCACATATCATGGCTTCTTCTAAGCTAAATCCTGGCTCAGTGTCTAGGTCCAGTAGATGTTGCCAGTAAACACGGAGGTTTTCAAAATATTGTGAAGTTATTTCTTGATACTCTACATCATTTGGATGCTTGTGCCACTGCAGAATAGGCAGAACTGGTTTCATGCACTCCACAGCAAGCTCGATCTCTTCCAAGGTTTGCCGAGACATGAGAGAAACCGCTATATAATGAAGAAGTCTCTCACTTACTGCCTGAGCACATGCAGAACCTGCATGACCATCAAAGACTCCAAACATCATCCCTTTGGTCTGCAAGCAAGTGGCTGCACTTCTGCGGTCTTCAATAGGGGTATTAGATGCCAACTGATTACTTTCAAACCTCAACACAGAACTTGCATTTTTACCATTCAAATCCAGTGTTCTGTGGCATAATTCACCTGCTCTGAGTATATCATTGATTTGTGTTGGAGACAACTGGAAAGAGAAATGTTCTTCTTCAGTGGAAGTGTGTCGGAATGCTTTTTTTAAGGAGAAAGTATTGTCTAAACTGCAGCTCCCAGCAGGATAGAGACATGTTTTGGAGAAAATGAGCTTCCATTTTATCTTGTTTCTATTTGGGGTACAGATGGAATACAAACGTCCTTTTCCTTGTAAAACAATGCTGTTTCTTGCTGAGCTTAAGATCCAGGATGATACAGTTCTCGACATCATAAGTCACTCCACAAATAGGAGCACCGTCCTTCAGTAACACAGAATATCCTTACAGCCTGGAATATAAGAATAGGAAAGGTATAAAATTTAGAAGGCTTACAAGAAGCTTTCTATATAGCAATACAAAAGCAAGTCTAGACCTCACAGAAATATTCAGAACATTTTTTAAAAAAAGACCACTATAGATAGAAGCATCTTAAAAGCAATACAATTTCCATCACTTAATTATAACCTTAGGATGTGACTGCCCCTCTCCAGTTAACTCAGAAAAGTTAATTTTTATTTTCTATGCATGTTTTTCCTCATTCTGGCGAGGCTAAGAAGAAATTCCAACATTACAAGAAATGTAATCATAAACTGTACAGTGAAAAGCCTTTTCTAACTCATTGGATCTGTTTGTTCTGTGTCATATTAGACAATAGGAACTTAAGTGACAATTAACACGCTACTTTAAAAAGCCTGCTGGAGTACAACTCTTAATATACACTAAATATCAAAACCAAGAGAAGATCAGTTCTCAAATCCTACGCAAAAACTGAAAGATGTGGCAAATTAATGATTTACACGAACGGCCAGATGCTCACATCTAGAACAAGCTAGTCTACCTTTCTAATTCTGTTCCAGCTTATAAACTCCTCTGGCTTTTTTTTTTGTTTTGTTTTGTTTTGAGGGTTTTTTTGTGGTTTTTGTTTGGTTTGTGGTGTGGTTTTTTTGTTTGTTTTTGTTTTACCATCAAGGTCTTAACGCACCTTCACACAGGTAGGATTTTTTGCACAACTGAAGGCAGATTCTACTGCTGGTTAATTAATGCACCTATCACAGCATTGTGCACTTTGATGCAGTGAAAGCGATAGCACAGTTACATTGACAACTTTTGCAGATTTACAAATAGGCTTGTTCATTTAGAGTGCAATTAGAACAAGCAGCTGTGAAGAGCTCTGCTGCCAACATTAAAACCTGGGGCACCTGAAAAGCTGAAGTTCTTCAGTTGCCATGCGGAAGGTCCACCACATTGTCTCCTGGCATTCAAGCTGTGGGAAATTGCTAAGTATAGCCAGATGCTTACTCCACAACAGAATTTTGCCCCATGGGTTTCAAAAACTAACTGGATAGTAGCACTGCAAGTACAATTACTCCCAAAAGATCATGTTAGCAGCCAGTTAGAACAATACAGTTCTCTGTGAGCTCTGAACCACTTTCAGGTGGCCTGCAGCAAGCACCATGTGCTCTAGGTCTCAGGCTAAAGGTACTACTGCAATACTGGGGTTTTTTCAGCAGGGCACTTCATGAGAAATAACAAGAAGCCAGCCCAGCCAGTTGCTTGAAAATGTTTCTGGGAAATCAGCAGGAGCTAAAACCAAACTTGAACTATTCTAAACAAAAGGCCTACTGATACAGCCCAAGGACTTTACTGAAATCCCATTTGGAAAACAAAACCAACTTGTCACAAAACATCTCTGAAGTGTACCACCCATGCTTAACAACAGAAAAGAGCAGACAAGCCATTCCAACAAGGACCCCACCACTATCATTCTGGGGACCCTATGAGGACAAAAAAAGGCACAGCATAATTTTACTGCTGATGTCAGGAGAGCAGAGCAGATGGAAAAGGCAATGTCAGTTCAATGCTCAAGGTTTGCCTGCAGTCTCCTGGGACACTGGCATCTCCCAACACAACCAACACCTTTTGCTGTACTGCAGAGAGAACACAACCAAAATAAAGCTAGTAAGAAGACAGCTGATACGTTAACTCCATCATCAGCTAAACCTAAAGATCACAACAGCGCAAGACACGGCTTTGAATTTGCCAACCTTTCCCAGACCATTCCCCACGCTGTTTTTAATTCTTTGTCTTGCCACCCTTCTGAGCCACATGATACTGACTTTCAATGACAACTTTCACATTGCCAACAATGATATCAACAATTTCAACAATGATGACATTCACGTTCTTGACTCAAAAAGCCAATAGAAACAGTGTCTTAAACAAACTTACCCTTTTCACATCAGCTGGCTGACAGACATAGCAAGGTGGGGGGTTTTTCCCTAGCAGCAGCCTTGCCCGATACTATTTAGAGATGTGTTTGCCTAAGGTCAGGTACCACCGGTCAGTCCTGGAGCACATTTCTGAACCACCCCTACCCACTGCCCGTAACTACCATTTTCACACTCTCGGGTTCCCACCCGATCGCCGTGCGCAGACTCCGCCGCTTCTGCCC